AGTTTGTGTCTGGTGAAATTAGTGGATAGGAATGGAATAAGATGTGTGGAAAGGGCTTGAGGGGTACTTTATTTTTATTAAATGCATAACTGGGCTAAATATTTTTCTTAATCGTACAGTACAGAACACAAGATCAATAGTCTTCATGATGGGCTAACATGTAGCTACACTTGCTGCATGGCCATCCCTTATATAACTCCTCCTACTCCCAGCAAGCCTCAGTTTTTGCCTAGTGTCCTTATATAATGAACATCTTCTCACTGAGAGAAGCAAACCAATTTTCCCTTAATTTTTCTCAAGGGTTTGAGAATCAACAACTGCCCTCTATTGCAGCTTTCCAGATCTAAGGCACATAAGCACTGGGTGAGGGGGCCTCATCGGCTTACAATCAGCTAATGGTTTGGTAGGTAATAGTCTCTCTCCAAAATGCTCTAGTTCTGTCAGGAATGACCACTATCCTCAGTCACGATCTCTGCCTCTGAAGCATCTACTGCGGCGCCTTCTGGCACAAACCCTACTCAAAAAGAAGTGGATCAGATTCTGGCTTGGGTAGAACTACATGTTCTGACTGTCCACTATCCACATTCCAGGCATTGAGAATTGGCAGGCAGACATCCACAGTTGTCAGCATGTGGATCTAGGGGAATTATCCTGGAGGTGTCCCAAATCCTTGACTATCTTCTGATGTCCAGGTTCAGCAACAATCTGGACAGATTTGTCACCAGGTCCAGGAAATAATCAGGTGCTCTGCTAACTCTGTGGTAATAGTTCAACCTGATCTATGCCTTTCCCCCTCTACAGCTCCTTCCTTGCCTGCTCCCCAGGATCAAAATAAAAGGCATTCTGCTTATTGCCCTGAACTGGGCCAGCGGGTCATTTGTCATCCTTAGACTCCTAGCAGACTCTCAATGTCCTCCGTTTGATCATCTGGAGTTTCTTTCTCAAGGGTTGGTCTACCATCCTGCTTCTCGCTCATGGCATGGCTTTTAAAGCCCAGTCCCTGAGGGGCAGATTCCACCATCCCTACACTGATAGTCTCCCAAAATCTACCAACCCACTTGGAAAGTACATTTTGCGTGGTGTGAGGCTAGGAAATTCCATCCTAGGAAGTACTGCTATTCCTCCAGTGTGGTCCTGCCTTTCCTACAGCTTGGTCAGGATCAGTGTCTATACTTGATCACCATTTAGAAACAAATCTTAACCCTGGCTGTTCTTTTTTGGAGACTGCTGGCATCTCATTTCCAAGTTAGGCTCTGTTCAGGGTGTTTCACACATTTCCCAGTGACACTTAGCTTGGTTCTTTTAGCCATGGGTCTCTGGGCAAGCAGTCTCATCATGTAAAGAGGTTGTCCTAGTGTTAAACAGGGATAAGGTTGTCCTGTGGCCAAAGGCCTCCTTCTCCCTAATGTGGTTACCGCCTTTCACCTTAACCAGTTCTTTCCTCCTCCAAAACACTTAAATTCTTATCTCCAATGTCTCAATGTGGTATGCACTGTGAATCTACATCTTCCTTTCAGCAATCACATTTCTTTTTTTCTTTTCACGTCCCCCTCCCTCTGATGCCACCATTGCTAGGCGGATTAGACAAGTCATCGTTTGAGCCTATGGTCTAAAGCAGGGGTATGCAAACACCGACCCTCCAGCTGTGGTGCAATTACAAATCCCATTAGGCTTTGCAGGACATTAGGCATTTGTAGTTTCACCACAGCTGGTGCTCTGGCGTTTACCTACGCCTGGTCTAAAGGATAGGCTTCCTCCCTTTCCTGTTAAGGTGTACTCTACTACATCTGTTAGTGCTTCTTGAGCTTTTTGGCATCAGACATCCGTTTCACAACTTTCTAAGGCTGCCACCTAGTCTTCCGTTTGCATTTGTTGAGTTCTATCAGGTGGATGTTCAGATCTGATGCCAGTTATGGGGTAAGGCGCTTCAAGGTACTTTGAGTAGTTGAATCCTCTTGATCTGTTATGTGGGTCTGTTAGCAATTGTTTGCTGTGTTGCCCTCCTCTTGCTTGGACTGATTTTGTCCCATGGTTAACACTTTATAAAATCCTAATCCTATAAAGTATGTGTATAGTTCAGCCTTAAAGCCAACTCCAGCCACAGCTTTTGGTTGGAGGCTATTTTATTGCTGCCAGTCTAGCCACTGGGGGCATTTCACTCCATTTCTTGGTGACATGCTTCGTGTGGGGGGTTGTCACTGGTACAGTGGGGCCATATTAATAAGTGCACACCTTATCATGCGCACTAACAGAAGGTGCTCATGGCATGCCATTTATTTTCTGTGGCATCATAATGCGCAGACATGAAAAAACAAACATGCACTGCCTTGTGGTGCATTTGAATGAAAGTACCGTAGGTACTTTTTTTTTGCTCGTGGTGCACAGCTGACAAAATTCTGATATCTATATAGATATAAATTTAGATAGATAGGATAGATATAGCAAGACAGGGATTTCTGAAACTGTAACCAATCGGTGGAGACAGACTGATGACAATCAATTCATAGGCCTTATATTTAGCAAAAAAAAAGCTCGGAGCATGGCATCACATGAATTGGGTGCTTTGGATGGCGTTTGCTGTGTACACATTCACTAGAACACTGAATGGAAATTGAGCACTTGCCTATGTTTGCATGCTAATAGCTGTATTGATTAGGATACACGCAAGTGGCAGCAGGTAGAGAATACATTTTTAAAGTTGATTGCTGGTGCATTTCAAACTTTGTTATTCTGCAAGGGTGAGCGTGTCCTTTAACCAGAAATATCCACAAGGAGGCAAAAAAAAAAAAAAAGATTAAAACAGCCACATATGCTTTTATTTCTCTTTAGCTCAAAGAAAAATAAAAGATATCACACATGGTCTTCAGGTTTTGGAAGCTGCTGCATCAGATAATTTAGAAACAAATGAAAAAAAAGCATTAGGCTGGCTAGCTGGGGGATTTGGGCTAATCCACCATTTTAAAAAGTGTGGAATGAACAGCTTTGGTCAGTGAAGTATTTGGTTATTAAAGAGTATAGTTATAAAGCAGTGAATGTGACATTTACCAGATATACACAGCAGGTGAATCACTGCACCAGAAAAATTCTCCTGCAGTAAATGTCACACTCACCGCTTTATAAATTTACCCCAGAGTTTTAAATAAGCTGTGAAAATAGATTGTTAGGTGCCTGGCTGCCACGCTGATCCCTTGAATACTTTGCGTCATTAATGTGGAACAGGTATAGAGATCAGGAATACTGACACTTGTGCGCTACTTTCTGGTTTCTGACTCATGATCAGAATTTGCAGCCTACATATATTCCTCTCATGACAAGCTTGAATAGTAGGCCTTCCCCAAACTTCTGCTACTCAATGACCTGGAACCTGCTCCGTACTAGTGAATCAAAGGCACATTAAATGCTCAAACGGGAGCTTTTTTTATTGATCACGGAAGATGCAACATCTAGGAAGCATACATCAGCCCCTTCAACTGACAGACACCATCTGCCTGATGAAGGGGCTGATGTATGGCTCTGAAATGTTGCATGTTTTGAGATCAATAAAAGGCTCCTGTTTGAGCATTTGATGTACCAGTGACGTTCCACTATTGAATATTTGTACCAGTGGTGCCATTGGCTCTGGTTATGCTTTGCATAGTTTGTGTTAACCATCTGGGGTGCACTGTGCTTTCCTGTCAGTTGGTCCCAGAGCAGGTTGAAACATATAAGATTCAGTTAACTTTGCATGATCTGTCTCCTACTTTGAATTACCAGGTCTCAGGCAGATGTAACGGATTATTGAAACTCTCATGTTTGTATACATATATCGACTCATAGCAAGCAGTAGATATATGCAAAACCATATAAAAAAAAAAGTTAAATAGGTTTAAACAGTCTCCGCCGCACGCTCCCGTCCAAAGATCCGAAGAGTCTCGGGCAAAGGATCATGGGGCGGGCGCATGCACAGTTCAGATCTTCAGCCGGGAGACTAGGAAAGATGCAAGGCAATGGAGGCAGCGTGCACCCGTACAGACTCTGTGGGACAGGAAGTGCCAGGAAGAGACAACAGGAGTCAGCGCTGGATCAGAGACCGGCACCAGTACTGGAAAAAATCCTGAAAACTACTCGAAGGTTGGTGGTTATATCCAGATCACCAACAGAAAAAAGCCTCTGTTACAGATTCTTTCCAAATTATATGCAATGGCAAATGAGTAACATGGCAGGTGCCCAAGGAAAGCTTTTTTTTCACTGCAATTAATGTATCTAGTAAAACAGTATAGAAACTTGCTGTCAGACATTGCGCAATGTAATCCCCAGCTTGGAATATGGATACTGTTTAAGTTGTCCAACACTATACATTAAGGACTAGGTGAAAATGGCCTTTTTTTTAACCAGATGTTGTAAAATCAGCAGTTACCTATTTTGATAAAGCTTTCAGCTTTATACCGGATTCTGCCTTATGCGGTATAGCTTTGCAGGACTACTTTAAATTTACACCGTGATCCAAAGACTATTATTGATGCAACAGCAACAGGATCTTGCGACTGGCTGCAAGTCAGTCAGGAGTTCCGGTTACTATCAAAACAGAGATAACACAAAATAATCCCACAATACAACCTTAACTGCTGGAGCTGATTGACTTTCCACTGGAAGTTTGGTACACGCAGTCCTCTGTCGTGTAACGTTTCATGGGATCTGAAAATCCATGAGCATTTTCTGTACTTTAATATTTTAGTAACACCCTTTATCTTTTATGAACAGCACTTTAAGTCAAGGGTGTATAGAGTCCCTTTGCATACCCTGCACTGGTGTCTACCTCGTCTTGGCCTGTGGATTCACCCTTTCACTCTCCTAGTGCAGTATAGGAGAATGATTGAAGGGAGAACTGGTCTTATCTCCACGATCAGAACCTGATAATAAAACCTCCTTATGTCTCCTCTTACAGACTGAGGACCCAAAAATCAAAAGGCACCGAACATCTCAAGACGACAACAGAGTGGATAGAAAACGGTGATCTTTATTAAGTGTTTACAACATTTCACTAGAATCAGAAGAATATATATATATATATAAAAAGTACAAGAATATAAAATGTTGCTCTGTATTTTGTTCTCATATACATGGGTTTATTGCACATTTTAGCATTTATAAAATAGTATTTACTTTTGATGAAATAACATCTCCCGTTACACCGCTCAGGATCAGATTTTCAGCAAAAACAGGAATGTGTGTTCTGGAGAAATGGAGTCAACAAATTATAATCCCTCACCTGAGGTGTACTTGGCAAACAAGACTTCCCACATGAGTCATGACCCCATGAACCTTCCTTAACCTTGGTCTTAGATTTCTCTAATTCATTACATTTAACAGACATGAGAGCAAGGTTAGGTCTACTTGAAACATAATTGTAGGATCCAGCCAAACATCGGAAGACAAAACACTGTTATGGAGAAGATGCATCTTATGAACCTGGTTTCACAATCTTCATAGCAACGTATCCCTAGATAAAAACAAATATATGAAATCATCACCGAGATGTAGAAACATTAGCTGGAATTTTGCAATTTTAGAAGGAAGCTAGAAATTTTACTTGGATTACAAAATAAAAAAAATACAAATTAATGCTAATTCAAATTCGCAGGTCTAGAAGTTAAAAGAAAATAGGGCCTGCAGTCGGAACAAAAAATGATCCATGGTAAACAGTAGGGATGCACCGATACTAGTATTGGTGCCGATGCCGAGTACTCGTACTCGCCCAAATGCTCCGATGCCTAGCCTGATACTTCCGGTATCAGGAAGCCAGGCAGTGAGTCATTACTTGGTTGGCCGGGAAGCCTGGCATGGAAGCCGGGAAGACTGGCTAATCAGGAAGCCGGGTAGCGTGTAATGACTCGCTGCCCGGATTCCCGATTTTCTGACTGGCCGGGAAGCCAGCTTCATGCTCCCTCGTCATCTCATGACGAGGGAGCATGGAGCCGGCTTCCCAGCCAATCAGGAAGCCGGGCGCTGAGTCATTACACAGCACCTGGCTTCCTGATTGGCCAGAAAGCTGGCTCCATGCTTTCTCGTCACCTAGTGATGAGAAGCATGGGGACGACTCCCCTGCTAATCAGGAGGCCGGGTGGCAAGTCTCGCCACTCGCTGCCTGGCTTCCTTAATGGGACTTGCGGTATCAGCAAGTACCAAAAAAAATATTGGTATCGGTGCATCCCTAGTATTCTGACAGTGGCCATCTGATGCTGTCAGAATACCTGTCCGTGTGACAAGTTTTGACCTGACTCCAACAAAAGTCAATTGAGCAATTGACTTGTCAAGCCGGCACGGCCACACACTTTTAGAATTTGGGCCAATTCCTGTGAACAGGAATTATTGCCAGTACCATAAAAGAGAACGATAGAAAGGGTAGACATTTTTTGAAAGACATTTAACTTTTTACTTTTGCATTGACTATTATTCCTAAGAAATTATTATTTGTCTAAATGTATCCGACAGTCAAGCTGGGTGCATATCCGGAAATATCAAATATAGTCTACGACAACCAGATAATGAAAACAAACTAAATACATGAGGGGAACAAAAAGCAAATCTGTTATTAGAAGTCAGAGACTGAATTGATCATTTGAAAGACAAAAAAAAACAAAAACAAAAAAAACTTACTGGCAATGAATAGAAGAACACTCCAAGGAAGAGCAGAACGAACAGCAGCACGATGATGCCAATGAAGATCCATTTAAATCTGCGCCACACAATAAATTTCATTGTCTTGCATGGATTTGTGAACCAAAGGAAGGAGGTGTCTGGTCGGCTGCATTTTGAAAGAAACAATATTAATCACACTAACAGAGGAAAAGACTTTGCTACTTTAAGCAGGGGAAGATAATGCGATTCAATAATTAACTCTGCGTGAGGAGAGATATTAGTTAGGAATAGGAAGAAAAGATATAAAATGATAGTGGTCCCAGAATACAAGAAGGTGAGAGCACTAGAATGGGCCGTGTAAGACGATTGCCATGTCTGAGCTGGCACAGGATTCCAGGTTAATAGGGGCACTCCCCAATACCAGTGATTAAGAAGAAAAACGGCTTACTTTGGTGGGTCTAACTTCGGGTTCATGTTGGGTTCATCTCGGCCCTTGCCAGCTGGCCTTTCTTCTGCCTCTTTCTCATTCAGCACTTCCAGAGTCAGCTCGAGTTTTCCCTTTCGACAAATGAAAACAGGTTCATGACATCTCACTAAACACCATGTTCTGCTTGTTTAGGAAAATAATAATGCATTCTGGGTCTTAAGCAGAACAGAAAATCTCTCACTGTTCTGTGTGTGTGTGTGAAAGCATAAAATAATACTAATGACACCTCAAGTGCCTTAAACTGCTGCACTTAATTAAGAATGTTGAAATGTGCAGAATGGAGCTCACAAAGATGTTTAGTGAAGTGGTGTCTAGTGAATGCAATTACTGTATACGAATACATCCTGGAATCAAAGTGTCAAGATACGCCATAAGGTATAATGATCCAATATTACAATTTAGATATCGCGGTTATGCGTTGAAATAGAAGAATTTAAGGAAAAAAAAAAGTTAAAGTGAACCTGTGCTTTGCAGATACACATTTTTACCATTACCAGCATCATATTCTTGCCTTCCTTTTATTCTTCCACCACTCAGTTAAGCTGCAGGGAGTGAAGGAAACCCCTGTGTAAAATCCAAATCAAGTCAAAGCTTAGACAGGAGCTACGGACGTCCCATGTGACTGCACCGATTGAGGTCAATAGACTTTGTATGAAAATGCGAAGCCCACTTGAAGCAAACCAAAGCCCGTCAACACTAATCCCAATGCAGAAATGAGCAAATGCTCCTATATATTTGTACTGCTAATCGAATCAGAGTATACTCACTGCTAAAATCCGCTTTCCATCCTTCTCTGCATAACACGGCCACCAGCCCTTCATGGACTTCTGTTCAAATAAAGAGGCCACTTTGGACGGTTTGGCCAGGTCAGTCATTTCTAAATTGCATTTGTCTGAGGATTTTGATGGAATTATTGTGCGGTGTAAATCAAGTTCAACAAAACCTAGAAGAAAAGAAAAAAGGCAAACTGTGAATAGAATTTTATTTATGGATGCACAGACACCACGTACCGTACTAAGTACACATCCAGATACTTTTCCAGCTACTAGAATAGACAAAAACTCAAAAATGACAGCTGCCGCCTAACTTTTAAGGAGCATTGGCTACAGGGCTCCTGGGGTTTGTGCATCCCTGTTTGAATGTATGAATGAAAATATATATATTATATATATACATATATATACACATATATATACATATATACATACACACACACCAATTTTTCCAGACCAAATACAAGTACTGACTCCACAGACGCCAGTTACTGACAGTTTTTTGCTTATTGTCATGCGAGTTTTTTTTAACCACCTGCTGTCCGGCCATTGTAATTAAACGGCCGGACAGCGGCTTCTTGAATGCAGGTGGGCGTTTTTAATAGTCACATCCCGCCACGCTCGTGCCCGCTGCTAGGCGGCGCGGACGAACGGGAAAAAGGCTTTTAATGTAAACTGCCAGCGATGGCTGTTTACATACAAATGTTCAGGCGTCTGCAGAGACGCCCGATCGCTTGTAATATACGTGCGGGTGTGTGGCCCCCCTCCGTCGCAGCCGCTAGTCTACCAAAACACTGTTAGGGGAATTTACCAAAACTGGAGCAGACGGGTTACTTTGAGCAACTGCTCCAGATTCACTCTTCAGCTTCTCTGTTCAGTGGAGCTTTGAAAAAGAAAGACCCTGACTGGTTGCCATGGGCAACTGCTCCAGATTCTTGCCTTGACATATGCTTTAAGCATTTGTGCATGCAGAAGTACACGGACTGTGGCAGGATCAGGTAACATGGGTGACCAGCAGTTGTAAACAAGCATTTTGCAGTGTTGGTCATAGAATACTTGCAGTGTGTCAGAGTAAGTGAACATTTAAAGATATACATCCACAGCACTGACCATTTCTTTAATAAATATAGATTTTCATTAATACCGTCAGTAACTCTTTGTGGAAGAACAGGTCAAACATTGACACACTAACAGGTTCTGTTGAAAATCATTTTGGTAAAAGCCTTCTGTGACTTCAGTTAGTACACTAGTAAAAGTGTCAGCCTGATTTACTGCCATTCCCCAAAGTGCCCCCACTTCCATCTTACATGAATGCTGAACATATGGTTGGTCATAGAGGATCAGATGATCACATCCAAGGCCAGCAGTAAGGGTGGCTAATGGGAAGCACAGGCCTCACCTGACTTTGCAACTGTAAAGCAGCCATTGTTTTTTTCTAAAGTCTTCTTAGGCCTTTTGGTTCAAGATTATGGAAATTAGAGAAATAAACTTGTAATAAATGGGAAATGTTATGATTTGGGTGAGTGTTAGCATTATCATTTTAGCTGCAGACATGTTCATTTATACATTTTTATTTGTGGATACCAAAGTAGAGCCATTTACTTATTACAGATTTCAGATGTCCATACCTAAATAGTCATCCAGAGAAAATTTGTCATTGTCCCAGATTTGCAGTATAAGCTTTGGTGGCAGCTTGAACTCTGTCTTATCAAGGCTCCAGAAATGCTCCTGAAATTGTATGATACAAACAAGGTTCACATCCAGTATAAGCAGACACATTATGAGACTATGCAAACAAAATCTTTATTGAAGCAGACCAGGCCCACTGTCGTGTAGGGAAGGGAGGGCGTCATAACCCTGTATAACATCCAACACCCAGCCTACACAGGATTTAGACTCCGTGCATGAATATGACACGTTCTCTTTAACACAGTGTGTCCATGAATTTGAATTTTCCCATCTTTGGTCAAAAGAGCATTAGTCCTTCAACCTACCCACCTGTGTCACCACTGTATGGCCTTCTATCCCCCACAACATACAATGAAAGGAGCTGGGGCTTATGTAGTGGTAGTGCAGATAGGCCAAAATATAAAAGAGTTCATGGTGGGGTACAGCGCCAATTTTCATCCTCATTTCATTAGTACCCCAACAGGTCCTGTATTCATGATTTCCATCATATGCAGAAGATATAACTGGGTCAATGGTTCAGCAACCACCATACCTATTGTTGCCCATAAAAGGACCACCACAGGAGCAAGGAATAGAATGACATGTTGGTCGTATGTGTGGGGAAGGTTGCAAGGCCCAACCTTCTTCATGCTTCAGTGCCAAAGAGGCTGAATGTCTAAATGGTTTCCATAGAACAATGCAGACAGTTCTTATTCCAGAAGACCAAAATCTCAATTTATTTCTAGGATACATTATGGCACCATCTCTGCGACCTATCTACAGTTTTATCTTGGCTTCAATAAACCATAGAAGGAAAACTGGCAGAACTAAACTTCTAACCGGAGATCTCAGCAGAAGTAAATCTCTGCCACACACACACACACACACGAGAACCCACTGCCTTTACGATCAACAAATTTAATACAGGCACAACAATTTTTGAGACGCCCACCTTCTTAGAAATAATACAGAGTTGTTCTGCTGGAAGATATTCAAAGGGGAACACGAATCGCCAGTTAAAGTTTCCTTCACCATCCAATGACCGATAGTGCACATCTGTTTTCTGCTTGTTCTCCTCATTGCCAGGAATCCAGCTGAAAAGCAATAGGCACATACATTCTGGTTTTATATGACCTTGATAACGTGTGCTTTCACTAGCTTCCAAATAAAGTCTGAGCTGATTACAAATGTTGAGTGTGTGTTTACAAATGTTTCACATATTGATCTTCTCAGACCAGCCATGAAATCTAGTAACAAGGAAAGGAAGCTCTCAAGCCTATGAACGCAGGTCTGGCGTGATCTCCGATTGCCAGTTCTCATCTGGTGCTCATTTAACCAATATAAAAACACAAGTAGGCTGCAGTGTAGAGAGCCATGTCTGCTCTTCTACTGAACTGCCTTTATATAGTTCAGAATTGGGAAGAAGTTGTGTAGCCTTCTTGGAAGCAGACAGTGCTTAGAGGACAACATAGCCCAAATGCAATTATAGAAAAAGAGTAACCCTTTCACACATGTCACAAAGCTAACACACCAGGATAAGGATCCTTAGTTTCAACAAAGTGACAGCTATTTTCAGGTGAGTCAAATGGAATTTAAAAATTACAATATGGCTGAAAATAGAGTGCCTCAGGCTGGTGCTGAAACTTTGTGAATAAAGCCTGCTATATACAAACCTGATTCTTATAGGACACAGGGACTTAATTCACACCTCAGTGTGTCATGTCTGAACTAGAAAAGAATGAACTTCCATCAAGCAAAAAAAAAAACATCCTTCAGTACCATAGGAGCAGTGCATAGCTGGATGAAATGGGTAGGGCAGGACGAGGTTTCAGGGTCTGGATTGCCAATTATCGGCTTCCAATGCACAGAAAGGTAGAACGGTTGTATACACTGATAATTCATGTACAGATCGGCTAGCTCAGAATCTCTACTGAACGAATACTATGGGGAAAAAAAACCAAAACGATTTGCCTGATGAGCTACATAGTTTGACCAACAATTTGAGGTCTCCTGACCATCACACCTGTATGAATGTGTTGAACATCCCACTCCAGAACCATGACCATTAATCTGGGATTGGCCCAACTTTGCAGCTATAACAGCCTCTGCTCTTCTGGGAAATCTTTCTCTAGAACTGTGGAATGTTGTGCCCATTCAGCCAAAAGCTGTTTGGAAGAGTTAAGGTCAGGGCTATGTGCAGACCACTTCACACCAAACTTATCAAACCATGTCTCTGTTGAGCGGATACCTGAATTTAATAATCTGGAGGAGTGTCCACAGGGAGGGAAAGAGATTGTTCCGTGTCAAACATCTTTCCACATAATTCTACACATCTACCTGCATATTCACTTCAAATCATGAGAGAATAATGGAGGTTCCAATTGTGAATCTTCTGCTAAAGATGCCAGTTGTATTCTGGTGTAACTTCTAGATTCGTTCACTGACCAGGAACAGGCATTTGGCAGATGAGTCAGAATTCCTTATCTTTATACTTGTCACGTTTCATTAATTTAAAAAAAACTCTACATATCAATATCTACGGGAGAATACTTTAATGTTTAACTTATAAATATCCATATAGACATGAAAAAAAAGTACCCTTTGACATAAATATCGCTCATCTCTTCCCCAGTAATACTCTTCTCATCCAGCAGCACGTCTTTAGTGTTCCATACAATCACCCGCAGGATATAACTAATAATACAAAGAGATGAGTCAACAGAACTAAAACAAATACGTCAGAATGAATAAATGTGTTGTTGTGTAAAGTTTAATTAGAATTCATTTTCAGGTTTCCTGCCTTCGCAATGGCTAGTAATACAAGGTGTACTACTACATGATTACTGCTCTTTTCTTTGTTTCATATTTTTATCTTAGGAAACCACAAAAAAAACCAACAAAATTATGAAAAAGTGTATATAAAGCCAGAACCTTTTTTGGATTGTGGGTGGTAGGGTTAAAAAGGAGAACTATGGGGTCAGTGCTTTTCCCCATAGTTCTCCTTAGGGTAACGGGAGAACACAAACTAGCGTCCTCCCGTCACCCAAAGCTTAGTATACCGCGAGCTACAGCTCGCGGTATACTGAGACCGCCGCAGCTGGGACGGATCCAGACACTGTCGAGATCCAAGCTGCATGATTGACAGCTAGCACTGCCTATCTAGAGGCGGAGCCAGCTGTACCCGCCCCCTCCTCCATCTGTTCCGCCTGTCAGGGCTGAAGGATCAGAGCGGGGAGGGGGGGAATCCCTGCAGGGAGCAGTGACTGACTGTCACGGATCTCTGCAGGGACATAATCGAGACGTGAGCGACAGTATCACCTCATAGTTCTCCTTTAAATGATGATTTCCCTTATTTTGGAGAGATTTTCTTTTACTTCTTGTGTCTCTGGGACCCAGCATTTAAAAATGTGAAAGTGCAAGGACATACTGTGTTCTATTGTGTCATGTAACCACTCACAGTGTAATGATGCAGAGATGTCCGGACCACTCTGCATCACTGAGGACCACAGAAAAACCAAAAGAAGAAGAGGGATGTCATGTGATGTTTTTTTTTTATACTTCAGACCAATCAAGTATAAATAACAGCCAGGGGAACTCCAAGGGAGGACCGGAGACTGAATTTGGGCTTCAAGCGCTGCCAAAGCAAAGGTGGTATTGGCAGACTGGAAAAGCAAAGCTCAAGTCAGTTGCTGTGGGCAAGCTTTTCCCTTTGTTTTAATACTAGTACCCCACCATCAGACAGAAATACCCCATTATCGAGAGAGGTCTACAAAACATAACTGTCTTTACAGTACTTTGGTTGTACTTGGCACATTCTGGTGACCTTATGATTAACTCCTGAACGTCTGAAAAATCTAACTTTAGCTTTCATTGCAATGGATCTAGGTAGGACCAGTTACCTCTTGGCTTTGCGGGGTGTGATGTTGAAGGGAGGGCCAGGAGGTCCCAAGCTTTTAGGGAACACATCAACCCACATTTCCAGTTTGCCCTGCAAGAGATACATTTAAAGCAGCTAAGAAATGTGTAATTTATAACAGTGTGAGACGTTAGAATTCTACATAAGAACATTGCACTGCAAAGCTAAATTTGACCACTTACACAGGCAAACATTCAAATAGTTCCTGCCCCAGAGGAGCAAACATTATGGTCCTTTTCAGAGTCGTATAGATTCCCTGGTCTAAATTTGGATCTGAGCCAATTGAAGTGACCCCATCATAAATAAATATTGGGCTGTTTAACATTTTCTGAATCACTGGGCAGATCAGAAAACTATCCACAATGACATTGGATAACATAGGATCACAGTTCTGGATAGTTAGCGTTAATAACCAAGACAACATGCTCCCCTAATCTGTTCAATAACTGAATGGATATGCATTGGTCTTACATCTTCTCCGCCTTCCAATGCTTATCCCTCATGTACCCAGAAATTTGTATTCCTGAGTAAAATATAAAAACTGTCTTCCAGTATGAGCACAACTTACTTGTGGGAGGTTTGGTTGGAAAGTGCTAAACAACGTCCTGGTCTCAACATGTTCTGGAACTAGGCCTTGGCTTCGTAGTACATACAGAGCGAGCCTCTCTTTGGCAGGCCCCAGGTGCTGATGAATTATCTTGTTTGCCTCTTTAAAAAAAAAAAAGAGGGTGATGTGCTGTTAACAGGTTATTACAATACACACATTCCGTACTTTTAGCAAATGAATAGATTGCACTGGGAATATGATGGCCGCTTTTACCTCGTCTCGCACATTTTTCATGTAAACAAAATTCAGTTCAAGGGCAACATGTTCACATGCAAGCTTCATAAGTTGCTGAAACACTCAGGGCCACTCCTAGCTTGTCACAAGTTTGGCATGAAAGATTACCGAAAACATTAAATAGAACTGCAACATAATATTAAGGCCTCTTTCATGTGAGCGGTCCGATCAGGTACGCCTGTAAGTTTTCAGCTGGACCCGATTGGACGCTCTATGGAAGTCTATGGGCAGCCGGGTTTAAACGGAGGAGCGTCTATTTACACCCGGTTCGCTCCGGCACGGTCCGGTAAAACAGACGGATCATTGATCTGTTTCGATAGACCGGATTGTGCTGGACCGGAGGTAATCTGATGGACATGTCCATATACATCATATTCCCCATAGACTTACATGGGGTCCGGCACGCTCAGTTTTTTCCTCCATTGCAAGATTGAGGAAAAAAACTGTACGGACACGGATGTCACAGCGGTGTCAGCCAATCCGCGCCGCTCTGATCAGGAGAGGATTGGTTGACTGATCCTCTCCTGATCGGCCAGTGTGAAAGGGGCCTTAGGCGGAGTAAAGGCAGGACCATATTAAAGTGGCTTCCAAGTGCTCCCGTAGGATTGGCCAGACTCTTGAAAAATCCTTTTTTCCACAGGTAATGTTCTTTTACTGACCTGTTTGGTGAAGCAAAAAGCAATGTACGGAATGCAGTGACCCATGACAGCCAGATATTATCTTACAAAGTTCACTATGATCTATACAATTTAAAAGGAGGAAATCTGACTTGGTACAATAAGTTGCTGCACTCCCCACCTAATCAGTGGTCTTTGTATTTTCTGATTAAGAAATTGTTCTTCCATTGGCTAAAGGGAACAGTGTCAAGGCCAAAACTACAATGGAAAACAAAGAAACCTGCGGAAATTTGCCAAAATCAACCAACTTGATGTATAGTTTTTTTTAACTCAACACATCTCTAGTCATTTACCACTTTATTGTGCTGGTATCATCTATGTTTCCACAAGCTGACTGAGAAACTTTGGGCCCTGCTTTAGTTATAAACAGCTAAAAAACAAGTCCACACACAAAAAAGGCATTCTTGTGAAAGGTATTTGAAAAGGACAAACACAGGAGCAAACCATACTGAAACACAAAAGATGTTTCATAAGATACAATTATTCACCTGGCTCAGGTTCTCATACAAGAACTAAAATGTGACCAGTTTTACCAAGAAGTTTTCATGCATACCTTCAAAGTATAGGTTGGATGCAGAAAAAACCCAAAAATGTTAGGTAAGATGATATAAATAAAGCAGACCTTCAGTCATTAAAAGGTCTCTCTATGGTTGCTTAAGGTCTCCTCTGACAGCTTACAATGACTGCACTCACCCAACGTATCCAGCAGGTATTCACGTCCTGAAAATCTGACCTTGTTTCCACTTTCTGAGAACTCTGCTGCAGGGACTCCCTTTAATCTGGCCAAGTTCTGCAAAATCTGTGTTGGCTTCAGTTGGTCCCTCCAGTGATTTATTCCTGTGCTATAGAGAAGAACATGTATTAATCATTTTGAGTTAATAGTCAGTCTATAAGAAAGGTCTAAAGGTGAAAAAAAAAAGCCTTGGATGGGATAATGGAACAGCGTACCTATATTCTTTTCAAGAACGAAGAACATTCTCCAGCTTCCCCAATCACATTCAAACTTCTAACGCACGTTTGAATCGGATTGGTGGCTTTGAGAAACCTCAGGTTTTCTGTGTCAGAGATAGCAAAGAGGATGTTCCAGCATCACCAGCAGGTATGTGCCAGGATCAGAAGATTACAGGCAGGAGGGAGTGCAGTGGACTGATACACAATAGCAATATCTGTATAAACGGTAGTGCTGAGCTGGCTGTGCTGCCTGGAAGCACCTAAAAGCCTTTCATTTCTGTAGAGATTACAGAGAAGGGACAGAAAAACAACAACCTAAATTGACACTTACACACAGTAGGTTTGCTGCAGTCCACAATGGCTTCCAAAGCGTGAGAGGAATCGGTTTTCCAGGTCTATTATAGTTTCTCCCACTTTCTCATCTCGCGTCACAGTATCATAATCATACACAGAAATCTTCAGATCTTTCTCTTGAGGTAAGAAGCAGCTCAGTTCATACATTCTATTGGAATGTGAATTGCAATATTTATTAGAATACCAATATTAAAATTCATATACTACAGCATATGCAACTTTAAAAAGACTATGGGACATGCTGGCCTGCTATGAAAAATTCTAGATTCTAGGACAGGGCTTCATATATTATGAAGGTTTCAAGAATTGCCACAATACTAAGGGTTCTATTTATAAACTATTTACAGGGCTCTTAACCCTGGAAATATCTGTGAACTTTCATTTTGGGCAAATCATGCCAAAAAATAAAATGTTTCCTAATAGATTTACACCGATCAGCCATAACATTATGACCACCCGTTCAATATTGAGTAGGTCCCCCTTTTGCCACCAAAACAACCCTGACTTGAGGCATTGACTCCACTGGACCCCTGACGGTATGCTGTGGTATCTGGCACCAAGCCATCAGTAGTAGATCCTTTAAGTTCTGCAAGGTGGGGCCTCCATGCATCGGACTTGTTTTTTCCAGCACATCCCACAAATGCTCGATTGGACTGAGATCGGCAGAATTTGGAGGTCAACTCAACACCTCAAATTCATTTTTGTGTTCCTCAAAGCATTCTTGATCCATTTTTGCGGTGTGGCAGGGAGCATTATCCTGCTGAGAGAGGGCACTTCCATCAAGGATTACCATGAAGGGGTCACCAAGAATGGTAGGTAGGTGGTACTTTTAACAGCCACACAAATGGCAGGACCCAAGGTTTCACAGCAGAACATTACCCAAAGCATCACACACTGGTGCCATCTCTTCCCCAGGTAAGCAACGCACACATGGCCATCCACATAAGGTAAAACAAATGTGATTCATCAGATCAAGCCACCATTTTCCATTGCTCTGTGGTCCAAGTTCTGATGCTCACGTGCCCATTGTAGGCACTTTTGGCTGAGGACAGGGTCGGTATGGGCACCTTGATCGGTCTGTGGCTATGCAGCCCCATACATAAACTGTGATGCAAACTGCCCATGATCCTGTCACCGGTTTTCCTTCCTTGGTCTACTTTTGGTTAGTTCTGACCACTGCAGACCAGAAACATCTCACAAGAGCTGCAGTTTTGGTGTTGCTCTGACCCAGTCTGGACATCACAATTTGGCCCTTGTCAAAGTTACGCAAATCCTTACATTTTTTCTGCTTCCAACACATTAACCTCAGGGACAAATTGTTCACTTGCGGCTTAATATATCCCACCCACTCCCAGGTGCCATTGTAATCTATCCCCCCCCCCACCACCCCCCCCACCCAGGCAACCCCCCACTTCCAGGTGCCATTGTAACAAGATAATTAATGTTAGTGGACATAATGTTATAATTGGTGTATTCTCTGGTTTGTATGTAGTGTTGATACATTATGGCCACTAGATGGAGCAGAGGAAACACTCCCTATGCTCTGCTTAACAAAAAAGAGAAAATTGAGTATTTAAAATGCTTTCCTTTCTATAAAGTATTTTGTTTTCACTTGCAATGTGCCTTAATTTGGGTAAAAACTTGACAAGGAAAATCCCTTGCACAGCTCCCTCCCTCCTTGCACGTCAGTTTCAGAGAATGTCTAAATACAGTTTATGTATAACCTGGTAGCTGCCAGGTGAGCAGTGAAGAGGAATACTATAGAATGCTATGGAGTGACAGCTCTGATTCTGCTGGGGCTACTGACATTCAATCCAAGATGGGGGTGTCCAGCAGCAGTCTCAGGTTTTCTGACTGTCTACACAAGGGGAACTTTTACAGGTAAATAAAATGCATAGAAAAAAAATGTTAGAAGTGTATATAATCTTAGGGAAAAAATGTTGTTGAACTCAATGGCCTGGCAACAAGAACTCTAAAAATCAAACAGTATTTTTTTTTTAAACACTGATTAAAAAATACCTTCCGAATACAGGATTCAGAGTGTTGGGAACATAGTTATCCCGGTCTTCAATTACTTTCTTACTCAGAGTAATTTTGACGTATGGGTCACACTAAAATTAAACAAAAAAAAAAGGTAAAAGAAAGTTTATATCCATACCAATAGTTAGAGAAGTTTCAGTAAAATCCCTCATTTCTTTTCTAAGGGACCCTAAATCTAAACAGAATGGTTACACTAAAGGGTTGCTGTACTGCCTCTTGCAGGCCCATTCATACCCGTGTTTAAATAAAAGCATATGTATTGCATTTCCCTACATTTCTCTGCAATGCACATACATTTTGGTGTGCTTGTAGCACGTTTTTGCACACACAAACAGACACACGTTCTGCAAGGCATGAGAAATGTGCACAAAATAGCTATTACAACACATTTGTTTTTAATAAACATAAAAAGGCCTTAAGAAAAAGTCAGAGTTCTACAGAAAGTATTTCATATCCTAAATGCTGGTTCCCAGTGTGCAAAGTGTCCACCTAACACCAGTCTTAGTTTGAGATTAGCTTCCATCTAGATTTCTTTTCTTTGTACCCAGGCTGTCGAATGTTAGGAGCTGTTTAATAACAAACATGACTCACCAGGCCATTGCTATCCTTCGGCTGCAGATCTATTCCTTTAATGATGTAGATTCGTACGATGCATTCCTGGGGTCCGCTGTCTGGCAGCTCCCGGAATTGTCGCGGTGGGCTGGGAACACCGGGGTCATCCGAGAGAGGATAAATACGGAAAGACCCCTACAAGATTCAAGGTGGTTAATCATTTAAAAAAATAAAAAATAAAAATAAGGACTGTAGAACCATTTACAGCGAAGATGAAGTATAAAAACAAAACGACAAGCCTCATTGTCAACCACACAAACTAGACTCCAACTGACAAAAAGGCCCTCACCTCAGATTTCGCTTTCCACTTTTTTTATACCACAAATCCATGTTATTATCATATTTATACATTTAATTATATTTTCACAAAATGTTACTTAGAAATGCCAATACATTGTTTTTTGTTATAGGGAATGTATTGTGGTTTTGCACTATTTTTTTTTTATAACGGACAGAGCTACTAATATACATTTATTTCATGTAAATATATTGCATATGATTATTATCTAGACATGTATTGAGCAAGCATGCAGAGCACTCAGTTCCTTCTTACATATTCCTCCTTTGTTGTGAAAAGCCTATTTACAGAGCTCAGTAGGTGAAACTGAAATTTACAAACATAGGTGATGACTTATCCTTATTGGACATCTCCATGCAAAGTTTAAACCAGTAGCAAGGTACCTACCAAGGTAGCTTCTGTTGTGCAGTCTATTTGGCTAACCGATGGTGCTCAGAAAACCCTATGACACTTAAAAAAATTTTAGGTGTATGTATGCATGCATGGATGCAAGGATGGATGCTTGAATGAATGATACACACACAAAACGTCAAGTGTCTTAATTTCTATACATGTGTGGGATTTTTCAAACATTGTACATAGTTGTGAATAATTTTAGTAGTATTTATAAAAACTACAGAGCATAGCCCTAAATCAGTTGGCTCGGGCTTCATCCATGGTATTGGCACTGCTCACCACTACAGCCTTGTCTTTAAAAGGGTTAAGAGGTTTATGTTAGATGCAGTGTAGGGATAGTATATGGATAAACTGGATTTCCTGCTCTGATTTTAATTTTTTGGTAGAATACACAATGAAAAGGGTGAAGTTTGTTGGCATTCATGTATCAAATTTTAACACTTACCTTAAATTCACCAACAACAGAAGGATCATCACTCTCATCGGCCTTCCCTCTATACAGCTTGAAGGTTTCACAAAAGTCTGTAAGGCCACTGAACTCTGGGACATCCTCCAGCTCCGTATTATACACCTGTAAAGATAAGAATTAGGAAAGTAATGACGGCAATTTCCCTGTACAGTATGCCAAAAATAAACAAACACTCATACAAGATATTACAGATAATTAAATTGCTTAGACAATTAGATTCACTGACCAGGCAGTGAAGGTTAATGTAAAAAAAAAAAAAAAAAAAGAAGTGTGACCTCAGATGTGTTACTGGAGAGGTTTTTTAACCTGTAAAATCTCTGCCACTAAAGAGAAATTAGTCCCTTTTCAGTAGAGTTTTAATCTGACTCAAGGCGGGTTATCAGGATACAGCAGGAATAATGCCAAGCCTAAGTGCGGTGGGGATCATCATAACCGGATGTCCCTACCAGACGGGGTGATTAATTATTTCATATGGCTACTATAGTCTTTTAAAAAGTGTTTTAAACATATAGCGTGTGCATAAAGTCTTTGTGCAACATGCAAGCCAAAGTAACCGCTTTACTTTCATCCAGCCCTGCAGCTGCCCAGTTACCTTCTCTTCGCTCCCCTACCAATCTGCTAGACAAAATGACACACCAACCACCTCAGGTTATCGGTAAGCATGAGACTTGCTCACATGAAACAGTGCTAGTGATTGGCAATAGGCTGCTCGGGCGCCCAGCATTGCCACATGGGGTCGGAAAGAGAATCCTCAGCCCTGCGTAATCTCCAAGTCACAACTTGGAGCTCACACAGGGATACTTCTCCACTCCTGCGGAGGAACAGAGTACTCAAATAGTGTTAGGAAGGTAATAGTTACAGTGGTAGCAATAATTGGTTAAAAGGTCAACTCCAGCCAAAATAATGGACACTGCAGTGAAGTGAGAGACTGGTCAGGTTTTCTTTGCGGTCCGTGTCCTGTCTGGAAGATTTCCTCCCACTAGAGCTGGCCCACACACTGAACAAATTTTGGCCACTTCTAGATTAACCCCTTCGTGACTGACGACGTACAGTGTACGTTAACCAGCCAAAATTTGCTCTGTGGGTGGCCGTCAGCAGCCTCCTGCCTGATATCCTTTAATAAGCAAATCAAATGAGTTGGGTGAAAATTCTTTGGCCAAACCAATTAACTGGTCACTGTTTGGGCTATTCTAGCAGAATATTCTGCCACTGCCATTCTACCCAAAGATTAAACAAAGTCTAAGAGTGAGTGCTAGTGTGAGTGCTAGGGAACATGGAGAGCATATTTTTTTTTTAGGTGGAGGAGGTTTAAAATCTGTGTCTGGTTCGGTCTCCCAACTGGGACATTTCACTTGGGTTACTGTGCAAGAGACAGGTGTCAGAACAGGCAATGAAGGACAATAGCCCCAATGGGCATTTAATACACGACAGTGGTTCAAGCCTTTCCTGCTCTATCAAAGCTAAATAAATTGTTTTGGAAGGAATTTTTGATAAAGAAAGTTATCACTAAAAAAATTGTGTTTGTTGTGTACCTTCAAGGTGTCATAACCTTTCTGCAAATACTGGCCACATTTCTCATGTTCTCCGATTGAGGAGTAATATTTGCTCCACCAGTCCACAATTTCCTCCTCCTGTAAAGAAAATAAGAATGATTAATGTAGACAAAGTTCAATCCAGCAGGTAAAGATGGATACTAGCCAGATATCCTGTAAGCTAGAATAGTCAAACCCTGGAAGACCATTTCATGGCATTCAGTAACATAGCTGCCAACAGTAAGAAGATTTCCTCCAGGTTTCAGCAGGTAAAAGTTGGAAGATTTATAGGTTTGAATAATGTATTGTCCTTCTTGAACATTAACCAACTTTATTATAAGATCCCACTTATTCACCGTGTTTAATTAAATGCATATTATCCATTCAGATAGCACCAGTGGCAGTATATTTATCTTGAAAAAAAAATTAAGCATACCACTGCACATACTCTATCGGCGAGAAACATGAGGTAGGCATACATATTCCATTGGGAGGCTACTGATGCAAACATAAGGGAAATTGCAATGGAGGTCGAAGACACAGGCTTAGAGAGCTAAGTGGGCCATACGTGGCGAGTTTGGGCCAGAGGCAGCACTGCTTCATCCCAGCAGTCCCGCCCAGGAAGGGTGGAAAAAAAAAAAAGGGATAGATAGGTGGGTGGAAAGAAAAAAGGGATAGAGGCAACAGGCCAGAAAATCATGGGTAAAGAAACTGAAAAGCATAACACAGATAAAGGGAGCCTAAAGTCTGACAGACTGTTCCACACCTTTACATGGCATGTATAAGCATGCCTATAAATGTTGGTGTAAGCCCTCACAGGCAGGGCCCTCCTTACCATCTTGTCATGAATTGTGATTGTAATGTCTTCCTTATATTGTAAAGCGCTGCGCAAACTGTTGGCGCTATATACATCTTGTATAATAATTAGGGATGCACCAATACCACTTTAAGACCAAGTACGAGTACAGATACTTTTTTTCAAGTACTCGCCGATACCAATTAGATACTTTTTCTTAATTTAATGAATGTCTTTTTTTACATTATATAAAGTTAAAACATTACAGGCATATATTATTTTTGTTCCATGTGCCTGCTGTGTCTTCTCAGTCTGCTTCAGCCACTCAGTGTCACAGCCTAGTCATCTGCTCCATGCTGGCCTCTTCTCCCGCTGATTGGCCGATTGAAAGGCTTCCTCACCAGTCAGGAGTGAGGACTGAGGACTTGGAGGTGGAAATTACTTTCGGCCGTTCGCCCGTGGAGGAGGAGGAGTTCGTGGCCATGTTTTTTGATTGCAGAAGCTATGGAGGTCCTGTGTGCGGCGGTTTTGTGTCTGAAGATTGCGGGCATGGCACAGGTACTCGTTTTAGGTATTGGAGTATTTGCACGAGTACTCATGCAAATACTCGGTATCGCCGCCGATACCGATGCTTGTATCAGTATAGGTACATCCCTAATAATAATAATAATAATAATAATAAATAATAATAATAGAGAGTG